TATTTTTTAAAATATAATTGGAGTAAGCCCTATAAGCTGTCTCCATGTCTTTTATTATTTCCTCCGCTGGCAAGCCTGTCACTGGAGCGATAATCTCACCCAGAGTCTTCTTCAAATCTTCTTTTTCTGTCTCAGGAACCCCCTGGAACCTGAGAATCATATTAACCTTTTCCATTTGCAGCTGCAACAAATGATTTTCTTGAAGATTTTATTTCGTTTCCACTTCACCCATTCTTTTCTTCATCTTCATGCTTGAAGTGTCCATCTTGGTAACTTTCTCAGCCACCAGCTCCACTTTTTTTCCATTTCTGCCAGCTGGCGCTGTTGTGAAGTGAAGTTTTGATTTAATGAGGTCAGTTGCTGGTTAATACCATCGAGCTGATCCATCACTAGCTTGAGCATATCCGCTAACAGCTTCATGACGTCAGCTCCCTTTTCCGGCCTTGGACTCTGACTACCAGGCTTCGCTTTAAACTTTCCTCGGGATGCCGCCATTTTCCAACTTTGTTTACACTTTCAAACCGCTTCTCCCAGGCTTGAAGCACTCATCAATTTGCTATTTGCACTCAAGTAAGTCTCTCAAAATACACACGCTGTCTGTTTCCTCCCACTCCCCCTTCACTGCATTTATCTGTCCTTGCGCTTCAGAGGTGTCCCTCTTTGCGCTTCACTTTTCCCAGGGGGGGTGTCGTTTATCAAAGTTTGTTTACTTAGAACTCGCTCACATCAATCGTTGTTCCGCTTGGTCTCCCCTGCTTGTCCCGGTCAGGTTAGCTTGTGCCCTAAGGCCAGTCATCGGTAGGACCGTCAAAGCGAAGGGAAGCCTCGATTCCCTGGCAGCAAGCCATCGAAGAGGCTATCCCTCAAAGCTCTCTGGCCTGGAGCCTTTCACAAAGGCTCTGTGGGAGTGCCACTTGAGGTGGCACCCCTCCATGCCGAGGGTGTGCTAATCAGCTCCCCAAGCTCTGGGGAGAGTGACCACCATCGCCAATCCATAGACCGGAAGTCCATTTATTTTATTCTATTTCATTAGATTTATATTAGACTTAAAGGGCATGTACAGAGTCTTTCTGTACAGCGGGTTTTCTTCTACCTTCCTTCAAGTATTGAAGAGGGGAGTGTAAAACTCCTTGCTAGGGTAAATGCCGTTCTACAGTTATTTCCAGAGGGGCCAGGTAAGCTGCTGGCTCGACAGTATTTTCAACATTTAGCAGCAACCCAGAGACATGAGAAATATCAGATTGCCGTTCGATATCCTCATCCCTTTGTTTAATTAGTCCCTTTGCTCGTTAAATACCACAGGATAAGGGTGCCTGGGGAGAGAGGCCAATTCTGTTAATATGGGTTTGTATGTCCTTAAACCAACTAGATTGAAAACTATCTTGAAATATCCGAGGGAACAGGCCTTGGGGGTTAAGGTGACCTTTTAACCGCATATGGATAGATAAAATGCATACCCGGCCCTTATAATGGCTGCCTCCAGTCTTCTGCAAGCATTTGATATAGCTCTAGGAACCTGCAGAACAGCTCTGAGGAACTTTGATTGTACTCTTTCCTGGAGAGTAAAGCAAGAAGAGGGTGGGTGTAGAAACGTTCCATAAAGCAGCTGTGCCAAGGTTTTAGCCTTATATCATTTTAAGGCTGCCGGAACGAAATGACCCCCAGGGAGTCGGTGAAACTTCAGTATGGAATTTGCCGATCTTTCCCCTTGGTAGTGCTGTGTGTAGGATATGTCTCATTCAGTGGGTCATCCCCCCTCCCTCCGCACGTTAAAAGATCCCTGTAAAGGTTTTTGTATCTTGCGTTCTTAATAAAGACATGATGTCAGAAGTCGTTCTAAGTAAGAAAATTATCAGAGCACTTCCCCCAGGACATATTTTCTATTTCCCCCCTCTTTCTTTATCTTTCTTTAATTCCTTTCAGGGCAAATTGCTAAACAACTGAGCTGATGAAGGACGAGGAGGAGGAAGAGAAGGAGGAGATTGGATTAATACCCCACCCTTCACTTGGAGTCTCAGAGCGGCTTACAAACTCCTTTCCCTTCCCCTCCCTACAACAGACACCCTGTGAGATAGGCGGGACTGAGAGAGCTCTTGACAGAAGCCGCTCTTTTTCAAGGACAGCTCTGTGAGAACTGTGGCTTGCCCAAGGTCATCCAGCAGCTGTGAGTTTGCACACTTAACCACTATGCCAAACTGGCTGTAAACAGGCGAAAGATAACACAGCATTCCCCTTTACAATAAAACGTTTGAGATATAACCTTCATTAGAGGGCTTAGGGGTGCCAACCTCCAGGTGCAGCCTAGACATCTCCCAGGATTACAACAGCTTTCCAGACTACAGATCAGTTCCCCTGGAGAAAATGGCTGGTTTCGAGGGTGGGCTATGTGGTAGAATCCCCCACTGAGGTCCCTTCCCCTCTCAAAGCCCTGACACACACCCCAGGCTCCACCCCAAATCCCTAGGAGTTTCCCAACCTGGACAAAGCAAGAGCTGTCCAGACAGGATCTTCAGTGCCCTTTACTCATAACAACGGCAAGTCCTAAGAAATGATGCCCAGTCACACCAAGCAAACAGCAAATCCAAAATGCTGATGAGTTGGAGAGCTAGTTTGGTGTCGTGGTTAAGTGTGCGGACTCTAATCTGGGAGAACCGGGTTCGATTCCCCACTCCTCCACTCGCACCTGGCTGGATGACCTTGGGCAAGCCGTAGCTCTGATAAGAGCTGTTCTTGAAAAAAAGAGCAGTTTCTGTCAAGAGCTCTCTCGTCCCCACCTGCCTCACAGGGTGCCTGTTGTGGGGAGGGAAAGGGAAATGAGTCTGTAAATCGCTCTGAGACTCCTTTGGGTAGTGAAGGGCGGGGTATAAATCCAATCTCTTCTCCTAGAGCCGTTTCTGTCAAGAGCTCTCTCAGCCCCACCTACCTCAAAAGGTGCTTCTTGTGGGGAGGGGAAGGGAAAGGAGTCTGTAAGCCGCTCTGAGACACCTTTGGGTAGTGAAGGGCGGGGTAAATCCAATCTCTTCTCCTTCTTCTTCAAGAGCCGTTACTGTCAGAGCTCTCTCAGCCCCGCCGACCTCCCAGGGTGTCTGTTGTGGGGAGGGGAAGGGAAAGGAGTTTGTCAGCCGCTCTGGGACACCTTTGGGCAGTGAAGGGCAGGGTATAAATCCAATCTCTTTTTTTCCTTCTTGAAGACAGGCGGGACCAATTCCTCCCCTGTGTGCTCCTCAGGGCCTCCTGCAGCTGCATTTGATGCTTTATTCCTCCGGTTTGGGCCTGCAAAGAAATCCGCAGTTCCCTCCGGGCCTTCTGTCTCCTGCTGCAGG